TCATGGTTTGAGTTCTAGTATTGTATGTGATCGTGATCCAAGATTTACGGCAGCATTTTTTCAGGAATTGTTTGATCGCTTAGGAACGAAACTAGCATTTAGTACTGCCAATCACCCTCAGACAGATGGCCTAACTGAACGAGTAAACAGAATAGTAGAGGATGTGCTGAGGGCTTTTGTAAATCATAAACAAGATAACTGGGATATGCTCCTACCTCTCTGTGAGTTTTCTATCAACAGCGCTACTCAATCATCTACAGGAAACACACCGTTCTTCTTAAATTACGGTCTAAATCCCAGAGCGCCACCCGACTTCCTCAACCCTATTCAGGGAGGCAGAGATTCAGCTGATTGGTTGCAAGCAAGACAAGACGCGGTCAAGATCTCACAAGATGCGCTAGTGGCAGCTCAAGCTCGTCAGGCCTTCTATGCAGATCGGACAAGGGTCGAGGGAAAGCTGAAGGTGGGAGATTTGGTAATGGTCTACCGGGATTTCCTCCTGACTCCTGAAGCTCGGGACCGACCATCCCATAAATTACGCCCCAAGTGGTTTGGCCCCTTTCCTATAACCCATGTGGTCGGCCCGAATGCCTACAAGCTCAAGTTGCCTCATACCAGCCGCTGTCACCCGGTATTTAATGTGTCGGCACTCCGTGCCTACGAGAAGAACGCTATTCCTAATAGGAGACAGCCTACGCCTCCGCCTATCACGGACCTTGATGGTCATGCCCGCTATGTGGTGGAGAACATTCTCAGTCACCGCCGCCGGCAGAATCAGCTTCAGTACCTAGTCAAGTGGCAAGGCTACTCTGATGCCACTTGGGAGCCTGAACATTATTTGTTGGATGAATCTGGTAATGACATTGTTCCACTTCAGAAGTACAAAACCTTGGCTTCTGCCCGCTGAGTTTTGCAGTTGAACTTCTAGTTTCATCTTACACATTTGTTGAGCTTATTACACTTTATTTGCATGGAGTTTCAGTCGTCTTATTGTGTTACTTCAGTGCGAAGCCTTTTTTCGTCTCGCACGTGTTTGCGCTTATTGTACTCTATTCCACTTGAGCATTTGGGTTATAAGCTCCTTCCTCTCCATAGGAGGGGGATGATGTAACAGTTTTCCCCTGTTCTCTATAACTTTACACTCCCTCGCACCTCGTGCGTCTTACGCCTGTCTATTAGCACCTTCATTGGCGCCATTGCCACATGTATACTATCACATTTTGCATATAACTGGTCGAGGCACGCTCAACCAGGCCTCTTACTTTTCAAGTTTGATTAAACCTGTTACACCCCCCCCCCCCCCCCCCCCCCCCAGTGCTCTAATATGTGAACATGTTGGTCCTCCTAGGCTGCTACTACTTAGTACTAGTACTAGTACTAATTAGTAATTAGAAAACAGAATTCCTTTTTTTCAAATTGTTAAATCAGAATCCAATGGAACTGCTTTGCATTCTTCACGTAATGTCGTTTACCTTCTACGTTTGCGGACTTTGATCGTTCGCCTTGTTCTCTAAAATGTCCGATTTCCGGCACTAAATTCGCCTTTCTGTTTTCCTGCGTTTTAAGCAGGCCTTTTGGTTGTTTTTCTGCCGGATAATCTGACCCGGCTGGCCTGCATGCGCCAGGTACACTCTGACCGGGCTGTGTTGAATGTCTAGAGCAGGCCCTGCTTGTTGGTACGTTGAGAATCAACCGCACCGGAGTTCCCCTGCCACTGAAGTCCACGAAGCAATTTGAGAAAAGTGCGAGAGGTAGCATGCGCTACGTTCGGGACAACGACATTGTCTTCGTCCAATGGAAGGACAAACGGGTGGTCAGTATGCTGTCAACCTATCACTGTGCAACTGTCAGTTCCGAGGTGGAGCGACGAGCAAAAAACGCACAGGGAGAGTGGATGGTCGTCATGATCAAAACACCGCAGGTAGTTCGAGACTACAACCACGGTATGGGCGGCGTCGACTCATTCGACCAGCAGTGCACACCGTACCGTGTGTGCCGCAAAAGCCGAAAATGCTGGAAGTGCATTTTCAATGACTTCGTGGAAATCGCTGCAGTGAACAGCATGATCCTGTTCAACCTGTACAGGAAGACGCATCCGGAAATCCAGCGACCAGCGTCATATGATCACGAAGAGTTCCGGGTACGCCTGATTCGGCAGCTGGGCGGCATCGAGGAGAACGCAACAGTTCCAGTGTACAGGAACACTGGCAAAGCTGCAGAGGTGCCTGTGGGCTCTCATCTTCCCATCTCTACCCCTGGAACCAGAAGGAACTGCTTCCTCTGCTACCAACGTGAGAAGGTGGAGAGGAAGTGCCAGGTCAAGTGTGCCACCTGCGGCCGCTACTTGCACATTGAAGGCCGCAACTGCTTCTACGACTTCCATGCTGGTTGAGGTATGCTTTTGAGCTGGCCGTGTTGCTTTGTTTACAGTGCACTTGTAGATGTGTTTGCGATTTTCTGTATGCATATACTGGTCTACAGACCCCAATTACTTGGCATCTACCAGAATTTTGTCAGATCGGCAATGAGCCAAAATTTCAAGTGCCGGAAATTGTCATTTTGGTTCATCTTTTGGACATGAAAGTTATTGCATCACGTTCCTGAGGGTTTTTACTTTCAGAATCACCCTATGTTGTACATAATAAAAGTGAAAAATAAAAAAGTTATGGCATGAACAATGACGGCCGGTTTTTGCTGTACAAATACCTAAAACGGTAAAGGGTTAATGCGTTTGCTCTTATTCTGCGCAACTCCGTTGAACCTGCCATCTTGGTCTTTGTTTTTCCTCGTGGTAGTTATCGTGAGTGTGATTGCTCTGGTAGACCACTATCCCATGTACTGAACAGTTGCTTTGTGAGTGAAAAATGTATGTGATTCGGAGTTACGGACATTTCAAAGTTACGGGCAGTGCCCTCTGTCCCGGACGGCACGGATACACAAGGTTTGAGTGTATTCCTAGTACACAGTTGTGCTCGGTGATATCCAGGAGGCCAAAGTGAATACTCTAATTTCAGAAATTTTAGTTGCTCAATATTTTCGGTAAGAGGGCAAAAAGGCCAGGTTAGGTGAACAGAAATTTTAGGCACAGAGAAGCAGTTCCCTATTGGATTATGTGTGTTAGTGTTTGTTTGGTGTATTGAAATTTTAGGTATGAAACGGATGCACCAAAAGTACCGAAAATAGAAGTACACCTAAAATTTGGGAAATTAGTTCAAATTACAGTATTTGGCGGCGTCAACTTGCACGGCCCTTGACACCCTAGACGTGTTAGGAATGTGGTAGGAATGTGGTAGGAATGTGGTAGGAATGTGGTAGGAATGTGGTAGGAATGTGGTAGGAATGTGGCAGGAATGTGGCAGGAATGTGGCAGGAATGTGGCAGGAATGTGGCAGGAATGTGGCAGGAATGTGGCGGGAATGTGGCGGGAATGTGGCGGGAATGTGGCGGGAATGTGGCGGGAATGTGGCGGGAATGTGGCGGGAATGTGGCGGGAATGTGGCGGGAATGTGGCGGGAATGTGGCGGGAATGTGGCGGGAATGTGGCGGGAATGTGGCGGGAATGTGGCGGGAATGTGGCGGGAATGTGGCGGGAATGTGGCGGGAATGTGGCGGGAATGTGGCGGGAATGTGGCGGGAATGTGGCGGGAATGTGGCGGGAATGTGGCGGGAATGTGGCGGGAATGTGGCGGGAATGTGGCGGGAATGTGGCGGGAATGTGGCGGGAATGTGGCGGGAATGTGGCGGGAATGTGGCGGGAATGTGGTAGGAATGTGGTAGGAATGTGGTAGGAATGTGGTAGGAATGTGGTAGGAATGTGGTAAGAATGTGGTAGGAATGTGGTAGGAATGTGGTAGGAATGTGGTAGGAATGTGGTAAGAATGTGGTAGGAATGTGGTAGGAATGTGGTAGGAATGTGGTAGGAATGTGGTAGGAATGTGGTAGGAATGTGGTAGGAATGTGGTAAGAATGTGGTAGGAATGTGGTAGGAATGTGGTAAGAATGTGGTAGGAATGTGGTAGGAATGTGGCTGGATGTACACATATACAAACACAGTAATGTTATGGGAACTGGGCTAGGGCGCCAGTTTTCTAATTGGGGTCGGAGTTCAGTGAGCGCAAGTCTAGTTTCTTGACTGCCATGGATGACTTGTGTCACCACTGGCTTCTGCTAGTTATCCTTGCAATGGGAAAATTGAATAAATTATGGGTTGCTGCGTGTACAATCGTGCCTTTGAGGCTAAATAAGGTTTTCGAGAAGAACATCATTTTCACAAGTGATGTTGAGGCAACTCTTTTGACTGCTCTTGCATGTGAGTGAGCAATCAAATATATTACGTCGACAATGACATTGATCTTCTTGCAAACTTTATTAATGAATTTTATTCCCAAGGGTACGATCTTGCTTCCAACAGAATATTGTATGGAATTGCACAGTGTGTCAAAGTGAAACCTTGCAAAGAGAGCGATGACATGCCGTCTTGTGATGGTGGTTGCCTAGGAGATAAACCCAGTTCGCACGCTGCCAAAAATGGAATGTGTGAGTAATGCATGCGAGCACTCTTTGAACAGTATTACACTGTTCAACACCCAACACAACCATACCTTATCATCAGGTGACCATGTGCTAAGGTGGTACAGGCAAGATCATTGGGCAATGGGCAGTGGGCTTATTGACGGTTACAGGCATGCCTCTCACCAAGAATCCATAATCCCCCAGAGTGCACAACTTTCCTTATCAGATCCGGGACGGCGAAATCCGTGTTGCACGTCATAGTATGACATTATGAGTAGGGGAAGTGTGGACCGTGGTGGACCGCGTTGACGGAATGACGCAAGTCCGACCCAGAAAATGGTGTACATCACGGATTACGCCGTCCCACAACCCGATCCCAGTTGCACGCTCAGGGGATTATTGACTCTTGCTCTCACCGATACCCTGACGGTAAGAGGAAAGAGAACCTGCTCAAGTTTAGCTTTACATTCCCTTTTCTTCCCCTGCAGATCTCTCAAGCAGGGGTGGTGACACGACCGCCATCAGCGACAGTGCGTTTGAATCATGGCAGATGGGAGACGGAAGCATGCTGGCGTACGACGCCATACCCAGCCGTGATGTCCTGGCGAAGTTTGCCTGGCACGTCCCACAGAGCATGAACTGGAAGGCACTGCTGAAAATACTCGGCGTGAATGGCATGCAGTTGCGCAAGATCGCTCTGACGAGTCCTGCAGACTGGCACGATCAGCTCGTTCAGGCGTTCCTCTTCTGGTTGGACAGTGGCGCAAGTCGAACATCGTATCATGTGCTAGCATTAGGGTTGGTACGCTGTGGACAGACTGAACTGGTGGAACGGCTGGCACGCTCCCTGGACAATGCAGTACAGCAACTGCAATAGATCAACTGGCAACAACAGCAGGGACACCAGAAGTAACAGCATCAGCACCACCACCAGCAGTAGCAGCAGCAGCAGCAGTAGCAGCAGTAGTAGTAGCAGCAGCAGCAGCAGCAGCGGCAGTAGCAGCAGCGGCAGCAGTAGCAACAAGCAGCAGCAGCAGCAACACTACCAGCAACACAAGAGCCACAGTGACAGTAGTCGCTGTAGCAACAGCAGCAACACCACCAGCAACACCAGAATCTAAAGTGACTGTATCTACTGCAGCAGCAGCCGCCCTCAGACACAGCTGCAGCTACGTCAGTACAGGTCTACTCTCCATATAACGTACTCTCAGGGACCACGCAAACATTATGTTATATCGAGAGTTATGTTATGTAGAAAACCGTGGGTGAAATACAAGATGCACCTCAAAATGAAGGGTATTACAAGGCGGGTTCAACCGTGCAAACATATACACACTGTACCACCATCGACATGAGATACCATCAATGCCGCAGAATATGTGCACATAGGACTAAACTGGCTAGCTACGGCTACAGCTTGATTGTACCGCGCACGTGAATCTACGTTGTATCGAGAGTGTACACGTCGGGGACTGCGCGTATGGGTGCGTTATGCCGAGGTTTAGGTTATGTAGGACTAAACTGGCCTAAAGTCTGCCTAGCTACAGCTACCGCTTGATCATACCATGCACGTGAATTTATGTTGTATCGAGAGTGCGCACGTCGGGGACCGCCGCAGCGTGTGTTATGTCGAGGTTTATGTTATGTAGGATTATGTTGTGTAGAACAAATTTTGTGTGGGAGTGATGCTGTTTCGGCGCGGGATTTGATTTTTTTATGTACTAACGAGGTTTATGTACAAGTGAGAGTTGTTATATCGAGAGCAGACCTGTACCCAGAACACCGGCACTGCAATGATTGAAACCATACAAGCACCGACAACCGGCAGCACACCACTCAGTGCCAGTATGAGCAACCAACACGAGCAAAGCACGACACAGTAAGGATGCTACCAGTCAAACGACAAGCTGGTTCGCCAGTGTGAATAGTGCGCTTGTATCTCTCTTTCCCGGACGTCCAAGTCACGGGCACCTCGGCCTACCAGGCACACTGCGAGTGAGTGTTACTGGAAATATTACCAATGGTTTGCCAGTTTCCCGGTTGAAATAGCGACGTCATGATCCAGATATGTAGCCCTTACCCTTCATAAACTATGTGATTCAGAGCTAGAACGTTTCCAAGTTATGGGCAGTGTCCGGTTCCTGGCTGCCTGGATAAGGGAGTTATGAGCAGAGGCAAACTGTAACAACACCCCCTCGTATCTCAGTGCATGTCAGTGTTGACCAACTCTTCAATGCCTGCTGCTGCAAAGAGCTTGTTCTCTAGCAAGCAACCGGTCGGTTAGAAAACAGCAGCACTGCAGAAGAGTGGACTCTCCTGTCCTAATGCTACCTGTTAGGTTGTCTTGTGATGTCCATTATATACACAATAGAACAGTCTTATAAGAAGTACCGGGCCCCATGGGCAGCAGTACAGTGTACATGTACTTAATATCCGAGGCACTTCTTATCCTTACACACTTCAGTATGGAAGTACAGAACAACAAGGACAATCAAGGCTTGTTTGCTGCTACTTCAAGTGGCAAGTTCATTTCAGTATGGATAAATACACTCGTACTCTGGACAATGTTTATATTCAGCAAGATAGGAAGTAGGATCTACTATCTGGACTTGCATGTACGGCTGCTAAATGCGTTTCAGGCGTCAGGAGAGTTTGTACCGTTGTCTACTAATGAGATTTGTCTTGTGACCGATGTGGTACTAACGAGGGTAGTTCTGTACTTGAAGTATTATTGTGGCATAGTGCGTTGACTGCCTTGATAACATTAGCCTAACAGCAGTGACTAGGATCATCTCAGTATTGGGCTTGGCTTGATGTGTGGTGAGAATTCCCAAAGGCACCATCAGCCGTCACATAACCGTTTCATGCCTCGCAGGTTAGGTGCTGCTCATAATTGCACCACTGCGTTCCTCCTTGCCTCCCTCAAACGATCATGTGGTTGCGTGAGCCTAGGCCTAAATGGTGTATTTTTTTGCGCCTATTCTTGTATCCCGTCACCCAACTCACCCAATCATTTTCATAATTATCACACTATCAGCCCATATCATTCACTCGCACCATGATCCAGCCTATATCAGTCATACATGTTCTTTTCTCCTACGGATCGGCGCACATGAGTAACGATGAATCCGAGACCTTTGGACGTTTGGTCGGAGGAGTTACTTTTGCCGCGCCCCACTTCCATCCAATATACTACCACCCCCGGCGCTCTGCAGCATCTGATGGTGCTGTGGTATTCAGTAAAAAATAAATAAATAAAAAACGAAAAACATGTATCTTCGGAAATTTATACCGGTAGTCAATTTGCTGTCTGATGATCGGTTAAAACGGTGAAGCTCAGAGTTACAGGAGAAACGCTTTTTATTCCTTTTTTCAAGTGTGTTACTGTGTACTACTACTACTACTACTACTACTACTACTACTACTACTACTACTACTACTACTACTACTACTACTACTACTACTACTACTACTACTACTACTACTACTACTACTACTACTACTACTACTACTACTACTACTACTACTACTACTACTACTACTACTACTACTACTACTACTACTACTACTACTACTACTACTACTACTACTACTACTACTACTACTACTACTACTACTACTACTACTACTACTACTACTACTACTACTACTACTACTACTACTACTACTACTACTACTACTACTACTACTACTACTACTACTACTACTACTACTACTACTACTACTACTACTACTACTACTACTACTACTACTACTACTACTACTACTACTACTACTACTACTACTACTACTACTACTACTACTACTACTACTACTACTACTACTACTACTACTACTACTACTACTACTACTACTACTACTACTACTACTACTACTACTACTACTACTACTACTACTACTACTACTACTACTACTACTACTACTACTACTACTACTACTACTACTACTACTACTACTACTACTACTACTACTACTACTACTACTACTACTACTACTACTACTACTACTACTACTACTACTACTACTACTACTACTACTACTACTACTACTACTACTACTACTACTACTACTACTACTACTACTACTACTACTACTACTACTACTACTACTACTACTACTACTACTACTACTACTACTACTACTACTACTACTACTACTACTACTACTACTACTACTACTACTACTACTACTACTACTACTACTACTACTACTACTACTACTACTACTACTACTACTACTACTACTACTACTACTACTACTACTACTACTACTACTACTACTACTACTACTACTACTACTACTACTACTACTACTACTACTACTACTACTACTACTACTACTACTACTACTACTACTACTACTACTACTACTACTACTACTACTACTACTACTACTACTACTACTACTACTACTACTACTACTACTACTACTACTACTACTACTACTACTACTACTACTACTACTACTACTACTACTACTACTACTACTACTACTACTACTACTACTACTACTACTACTACTACTACTACTACTACTACTACTACTACTACTACTACTACTACTACTACTACTACTACTACTACTACTACTACTACTACTACTACTACTACTACTACTACTACTACTACTACTACTACTACTACTACTACTACTACTACTACTACTACTACTACTACTACTACTACTACTACTACTACTACTACTACTACTACTACTACTACTACTACTACTACTACTACTACTACTACTACTACTACTACTACTACTACTACTACTACTACTACTACTACTACTACTACTACTACTACTACTACTACTACTACTACTACTACTACTACTACTACTACTACTACTACTACTACTACTACTACTACTACTACTACTACTACTACTACTACTACTACTACTACTACTACTACTACTACTACTACTACTACTACTACTACTACTACTACTACTACTACTACTACTACTACTACTACTACTACTACTACTACTACTACTACTACTACTACTACTACTACTACTACTACTACTACTACTACTACTACTACTACTACTACTACTACTACTACTACTACTACTACTACTACTACTACTACTACTACTACTACTACTACTACTACTACTACTACTACTACTACTACTACTACTACTACTACTACTACTACTACTACTACTACTACTACTACTACTACTACTACTACTACTACTACTACTACTACTACTACTACTACTACTACTACTACTACTACTACTACTACTACTACTACTACTACTACTACTACTACTACTACTACTACTACTACTACTACTACTACTACTACTACTACTACTACTACTACTACTACTACTACTACTACTACTACTACTACTACTACTACTACTACTACTACTACTACTACTACTACTACTACTACTACTACTACTACTACTACTACTACTACTACTACTACTACTACTACTACTACTACTACTACTACTACTACTACTACTACTACTACTACTACTACTACTACTACTACTACTACTACTACTACTACTACTACTACTACTACTACTACTACTACTACTACTACTACTACTACTACTACTACTACTACTACTACTACTACTACTACTACTACTACTACTACTACTACTACTACTACTACTACTACTACTACTACTACTACTACTACTACTACTACTACTACTACTACTACTACTACTACTACTACTACTACTACTACTACTACTACTACTACTACTACTACTACTACTACTACTACTACTACTACTACTACTACTACTACTACTACTACTACTACTACTACTACTACTACTACTACTACTACTACTACTACTACTACTACTACTACTACTACTACTACTACTACTACTACTACTACTACTACTACTACTACTACTACTACTACTACTACTACTACTACTACTACTACTACTACTACTACTACTACTACTACTACTACTACTACTACTACTACTACTACTACTACTACTACTACTACTACTACTACTACTACTACTACTACTACTACTACTACTACTACTACTACTACTACTACTACTACTACTACTACTACTACTACTACTACTACTACTACTACTACTACTACTACTACTACTACTACTACTACTACTACTACTACTACTACTACTACTACTACTACTACTACTACTACTACTACTACTACTACTACTACTACTACTACTACTACTACTACTACTACTACTACTACTACTACTACTACTACTACTACTACTACTACTACTACTACTACTACTACTACTACTACTACTACTACTACTACTACTACTACTACTACTACTACTACTACTACTACTACTACTACTACTACTACTACTACTACTACTACTACTACTACTACTACTACTACTACTACTACTACTACTACTACTACTACTACTACTACTACTACTACTACTACTACTACTACTACTACTACTACTACTACTACTACTACTACTACTACTACTACTACTACTACTACTACTACTACTACTACTACTACTACTACTACTACTACTACTACTACTACTACTACTACTACTACTACTACTACTACTACTACTACTACTACTACTACTACTACTACTACTACTACTACTACTACTACTACTACTACTACTACTACTACTACTACTACTACTACTACTACTACTACTACTACTACTACTACTACTACTACTACTACTACTACTACTACTACTACTACTACTACTACTACTACTACTACTACTACTACTACTACTACTACTACTACTACTACTACTACTACTACTACTACTACTACTAC